TCATAATTGCAGTTAAATTGTAGTTGGATGGTAGTCTAAAATATTACTCTGCATATTTTTCTTTTGAGAAATTCTTTTTTTTTTTTTTTTTTTTGAGACGGAGTTTCGCTCTTGTTACCCAGGCTGGAGTGCAATGGTGCGATCTCGGCTCACCGCAACCTCCGCCTCCTGGGTTCAAGCAATTCTCCTGCCTCAGCCTCCCGAGTAGCTGGGACTACAGGCACGCGTCACCATGCCCAGCTAATTTTTGTATTTTTAGTAGAGACAGGGTTTCACCATATTGACCAGGATGGTCTCGATCTCTTGACCTTGTGATCCACCCGCCTCGGCCTCCCAAAGTGCTGAGATTATAAGCGTGAGCCACCGCGCCCGGCCTGAGAAATTTTCATTTAACCCAGTAAATCTTTCACAGCTATATTTATTCCAAAAGACTAAGGTTTATTGCTCAAGGGAGAAAAAAACAAAAATATCAGAAGACCAAAGAGTAAACTGTGTGGCTTTCTGAGACCTTGTGTACAGTGACAACAGTCTTCAAAACCATGAAAATGTAAGATCCATGAATCTGAAAGAGAAAAACGTTCTGAAATGTTCAAAACTTAGCTTGGAGAATGAAAAGACAGACTGAAACCAAAGGGCATACGATCTACTAAAGAACAATGAATTGGAATAACAATAGTATAGGCTAATGTTGAATTTGTTCCTGCCCACAGAAGTAAAAAGTTCGAAGAGCTGATGAGATAATACATAGTGGATCAATGTGCAGGCCTAGACTGTCCTCCTCCTTAGGGGTGGAGTCGTTCGCTTGATGGGTGAGGCAGAGTGTGGAAATGTTTGCTAATAGAAACTCAAGGTAGGTCTCTAATTATCAGAAAAGAGATGTCTACACTTTCCAGAACATACTCAAGCTTGCCTTGAATAGGAGCCGTATATCCTACATGGTACCTGAGTTGCAAAGTAGCAATAACTGAGGAAAATGTTTGGGGAGATGAACCCAAGGGCTGGTTCGGTAATTGACGCACACTAGATGAGACTAACTTTCAGTCCTAACTGCCACTCCCGCAGGGCTCAGAAGGATTTGAGAATGAGCCAAAGGACCCAAGAGAATCTAAGTCAGGATGAAAAGGTTGCCAACTGTGTCGGAAATGGCTGGCTGCCTGCCAGAAATGCGTGCTCTTACTTCCACACCGAGCAGTGACGGCCCAGCCAGAGGCTGCATTTCCCAGCCTTGTTAGCATAAAGATATGGCAATGTGTCTGGCTCTTACCAGAGGAAGGTAAGCAGAAGTTATTAAGAAGCAGGGGTGCGGCCAAGTGTGGTGGCTCATGGCTGTAATCCCAGCACTTTGAGAGGCCGAGTCGGGTGGATTACCTGAGGTCAGGACTTCCAGACCAGCCTGGCCAACATGGCAAAACCTCATCTCTACTAAAAACAAAAATTAGCCAGACATTGTGGCACATGCCTATAGTCCCAGCTACTGGAGAGGCTGAGGCAGGAGAATCAATCGCTTCAATCCAGGAATCGGAGGTTGCAGTGAGCCAAGCTCGTGCCACTGAACTCCAGCCTGGAAGACAGAGCGAGACTCTGTCTCAAAAAAAAATACAAATAAAAACCAAAGAAGCAGGGGTGAATGATGCTTTCCTTTTCTCTTCCTATGGCCAGAAGACAAGACTCCATAGTGTATAGTTCCTGCATACAGTTTGGCAACCACAGTGAATGCACAGAGTGTACCTGAGGATACAGGAAATATTCACGGGAAACAGTAGTAGTAGAACACTCTATAATGAATCATAAAGCTCTCTGGGATACTTTAAATATTTGAGGGAAATGCAGCACTGTCTTACTAAGACACTGAGCAAATAATTAGTGCTGGACTGTTTGACCCTAACTACTTCGTAAAAAGAACTGTTAAGTATTCCTTTTGGTCTGCAGCCCTAAAAATACATTACTGACACTCTACGGGCACTATAAACCGAGAAAGCATGGAAACTTCCCTCTCAGAAAATGATAGAGACACAGATGAAAGGGCTGTGGGTTCTAAAATCTCTACATGGAGGAAAGCCGGTTAGTAATTAAGAACTCCCACACTGGACTGGTATACAAGCCACCAATAAACTTCTGTTGCATGAATCCATTGAACTTTTGGAGTTTGTCATCATAGCTAATGTTATATTAACTAACACACGGAGTATCTGGGAATCTAAATCCAAGGTCAAGGTAAAGTTGCAGATACCAACAGCAGATGCCTATGCACTGCAATTCCTGCAGACTGAATGAGAAAAAAACTATATCTTCGTGGAGGCCACTAAGCCAAAAGCATGACTCAGAGAGTAAATGTCCCTTATCCAGTACCAAGTCAATACATAAGCCCCCGAAGCTAAGGTCAACCCTAAGGAAGAAAGGGGAAGGACATGAAGGAGGCAAAGGACACTAAGGATTTGGCCCAAATGAGATTGAGTAACCTTAAATCTGGTATTTAAAATTTTTTACTGGGCTGGGCATGGTGGCTCACACCTGTAATCCCAGCACTTTGGAAGGCCAAGGTGGGAGGATCACTTGAGCCCAGGAGTTTGAGACCTGCCGGTAAAACATAGTGAGCTCTTGTCTTACAAAAAATAAAAATTAAAAAATACCACCAGTGGATGTGTTTGATTGCTAAGTTAATTACACTTTTTTGGAAAAGAAACAAATTTACATTTTGCATATTTCATTTTGGAACTGGAATTGTAAAATTTTCTTTTTTTTTTTTTTGAGACGGAGTTTTGCTCTTGTCACCCAGGCTGGAGTGCAATGGCGCGATCTCGGCTCACCGCAACCTCCGCCTCCTGGGTTCAGGCAATTCTCCTGCCTCAGCCTCCTGAGTAGCTGGGATTACAGGCGCGCACCACCATGCCCAGCTAATTTTTTGTATTTTTAGTAGAGACGGGGTTTCACCATGTTGACCAGGACGGTCTCGATCTCTTGAACTCATGATCCACCTGCCTCGGCCTCCCAAAGTGCTGGGATTACAGGCTTGAGCCACCGCGCCCGGCTTCAAACATATTTTTATGTTTTCAGAGGAGTTCAAAAAAGACCAAGTGCAATTCACTAATGGACTTTCCAAAATTCCAATTTGGTAAAATTCATTTATTGTGTCTCCTTCACCCTTGGCTTACCAAAAGCTGGCATTCCAGGAATAGAATAATGGATGCTCAGTAGCCCCAAATCACCCAAGTCCATTACAGAAATGATGAGAACATTTCACAGCCAGCATCTTTGGTCCTCCTCATCACAGCTTTAGTATGTGAACCCAAAAGATCTGAGACGGGTCTCAGTCAACTTAGAAAGTTGAGTTTGCCAAAGTTAAGGACACACCATGGCATAGCCTCAGGAGGTTTTGACGACATGTGCCTAACATGGTCGGGAAACAGCTTACTTTTATACACTTTAGGGAGACATGAGACATCAATTAATATGTGTAAGAGGCACATTGGTTCAGTCTGGTCAGGTGAGACAATTCAAAGTGGGGTCTTCCAGGTTAGAAGCAGAAAAGAGACAAAACATTGATCTTTTGAGTCCTTGCTCAGCTTTCCACAGAATACACACTTTAGTCTGGCTCAGGGAGTCTGCATTTTTGCCTAAACAGTACTGCAGAGGAAGCAATCACATATATGTTTGTCTCAGGTGAGCCTCAAAGGGATGAATTTAAGTTCTGTCTGCCCTCTGTCCACAGGGAATTTCCTTGTGGGCAAATTACGAGGGAGGTGTGTGGCTTCTTATCTTCATGGCTATCTTAGTTAGGAATAAAATGGGAGGCAGGTTTACCTGACACAGTTTCCAGTTTGACTGTTCCCTTGGCTTAGTGATTTTGGGGTCCTGAGATTTATTTTCCTCAGCATGTGTGAGTAAAACCGGCACAATTTAAGGAAAGCAAGATTTCTCATCATCTAATTCATTGGTTCTCAACTAGGGGGCAATTTTGCCCCCCTACGGGAGCATTTGACAGTGTCTAGAGACATTTTCAATGGTCACGACCAGTGGAGTGGGGTGGGGGGGCGATGCTACTAGCATCCAGTGGATAAAGGCCAAGGGGTCCCCAGAACAACCTTCCCACCACAAAGAGTTAGTTGTCTGTTCCAAAATGTCAACACTGCAGAGGTGGAGGAATCCTGATCCAATTAATTTGTTTATATGTATAATTTGCTCCCCACTACTGGAATAAGGCTCTGTGAGGACAGGGACTTTGCTGTGTTTACTGCTCTATGCTTGGAACATGGGAGTCAACGAATACTTGATGACAGATAATAGATGAATGAATGCCTCAAAGGGGTCCTGGTCACACCAGGCATTTCTATGCACCTTACTTCATCAGGAGGGTTAGGAAGGGGAAGGAGGGTGGTATAGAGCAACATGGATCAAATATCTGGGGTGGCACAACTTCCTTGACTATCCTCATGTGGATCTCTTCCCAACACAACGCAACCAAAAATTTTCATCATTTTCCTTCATTTTAATTTTCTAACTTGAAAGAAAACGTGCAACTTTTTACCACGTCCTCAATTTCTCCATTCATTAAATGAATGTCATTAATCAAAATTGTGACTTTAATTTTAATTTTCTAAAAACAAGAGATGGAGCCTCTCTATGTCACCTAGGCTTGTCTGGCACTCTAGGGATCCAGTGACCCTCCCACCTTGGCCTCCCAAAGTGCTGGGATTACAGGCATGAGCCTCGGTGCCTGGACCACAAAATTGTGACTTGTGTCTCACAATTTTCACAGAGATTTGATGTACTTTTAGTTGTTCTTTATCTTTTCCAACAATTACAAGTGCATTTTCCCCGTTATGAAAGGTGCTTCTCTCTTCTCATCACTCCTTGATACCCAGGTGAAGCTTAGAAGAAAGGCCAAGAGGAAGAGTGGGGTGCTGAGGCCCCCGACTGCAGGTGGCTTGTTCCCTCCTGCCCCCTCCCCCACTGCACCTTAAACATTGCTCTGATACAGCAGAATGGCAACTTCTGCCTACCTGTTTGTCTGTATGGCTCAGTTCTTTTTGTCTGTGGCGAGGCGTGCTCTTACTTGTCTTTATATCAGGGGTACCTGGAGCATGGACCCAACCAATGCTGATTGAATGAATAAAATGCCTTTTGCCTACTTCACAATGTCACCTAGGGCACCCTGTGCCAGCTTCACAATGGTACCCAAGGCTTAACTTTTGACTACTTCACAATGTCACTTTTAACTGACCCCACACGGAAATGGGGACTGCACAGAAACGTAGGAGTGTGTCCAGTGTCCGCGCCGTTTGACTCACTCTCCCGTGGTGGCTGCAGCCAACGAAGAGGAAGCAAAGGATCAAAACTCTGAGCTGCAGCATATGGATTTGGGTTAAACGGCCTGGGACGGAGAGGCAAGCTAATCGCCCAGGGAAATGGGCCTGTGGGGACCTCACCAGAAACCGCAGAGGATCCGAGCTGCGTGTAGGCGGGGCACGCCTGTCACCCTGGGCCCGGGCGCCCGGTCAGCCGCTGGAGAGAACTGGTCGACCCCCGAGGCAGAGGCTAGTGGTGTTGATGTGAAGTGACTCCCCAAGCCTCGGGCAGCAACACTGCTAAAGGCGGCGGCAGGCGACTTCTGCATTTCCCCGAAGCGCAGCTGGGGAACGTTCCCAGACCGGCCCACGGGTTGCTAGAGGGTCAGACGGAAAGGACCCGCCTTTCCCAGGCGCCGGCCCAGCAGGACGAAGGTTGTTCCCCAGGCCACGTGAAGCGTCCTCGCCCCTCGGAGCCCGGAGCAGGCAGGGCTCACGAAAGCGGGAAGTTGAGGACGCCCCACCTTGGAGAGGCGGCGCCCCCGGAGCGGCTCTCGCAACCTCTGCCTCCGCGGCCGCCTGGTCCCGCACAGGGAGGTCGCGGCCGTGGAAGGATGACCCGTGGCGGTCCGGGCGGGCGCCTGGGGCTGCCACCACCGCCGCTGTTGCTGCTGCTGCTGCTGCTGTTGCCGCCACTACCGACCACCGCGGAGCCGCCGACCCCGGCAGGTGAGCAGAGCGCGCCCTGCAGGGGACCCCCCGGGAGGCTCCTCGGGGTCTGCGCGCGCCCCGCATCCGGCCGGGTTGCGGTCCAGCGGGCGTCTCGCTCCTGGGTGGACCGCGGGAAACGCGCCTCTGACCAGCGGCCTCGCTCCAGCCCCGCAGGCACTTGAGAAGGGCATGGCGAGTGCTTCTGCCAACTTTACAAGTTTTGGCCCGAATCCTTGTCCCACAAATCGGCTCGTTCCTGCGCTGACTCTTGGCCCACAGAGCCTGGGCTGGTCCTAAAAACTCCAGCCAATGGGCATCTAAATATATTTATCCAGATCGTAGGACGGTATAGTTCCGGCCTGCCGTTTGTTTTGGGTTTTAAACATTTACAGTGACTTCAGCTTAAAATCACGGTTGCAGCCAGGTAATGGTCGGTTCGATGTGTGCCGGGCAGTGTGCTTAAGGGCCTTATGGTTTTGTTGTTGTTGTTGTTGTTTTGTTTGAAACGGAGGCTTGCCTTATCGCCCAGGCTGGAGTGCAATGGTCTGATCTCTGCTCACTGCAGCCTCTGCCTCCTGGGTTCAAGCGATTCTCCTGCCTCAGCCTCCCAAGTAGCTGGGATTACAGGCGCCTGCCACCACGCCCGGCTAATTTGTGCATTTTTAGTAGAGACGGTGTTTCACCAGGTTGGCCAGGCTGGTCTCAAACTCCTGACCTTAGGGGATCCACCTGCCTGGGCCTCCCGAAGTTCTGAGTGCTGGGATTACAGGCCACCCGCTTCCGGCCTGTTTTATATGTGCGTGTGTGTGTGTGTGTGTGTGTGTGTAATCCTCATTATAATCCTAAATAGGTATATTCCCCATTCTGCAGATGAGAAGACTGAGATTGGTCAGAAGTAATTTGCATAAAGATAACACAGCCGTTACCACAGAGCTCGGGGATGTCAGAGGGCATTTGCTTATTTACTTATCTCTTGGAAAAACAGGTTTTATCTCTACAGGTATTCTTGCAAAGCTGCATTTTTTTGCTAAAATAAAATAAAATTTAAAAGTCTTAGATTTCTTATTTCCATTCCTGAGGCCAAAGATTATGAGCTCTAACTAAGGGACTTGAAAGAATTCTAAAGCAATAATAAGAGAGAATTAATTTTGTTTGATTTCAGAATCCCCTCTTCTGTGCTGACCTTGTGCAAGAGCAGGGTGGGGCCTGGGGAGGGTGTCTCTTCCTAAATGTGTGTACTGATTCTTGTTACACCACACTCCGTCATCAAGTGTCTACAGTGACTAGTTTTCTGAACTTGCCCAGTTACCACTCTTCAATTACATCTTTCCAGTTGGTGCCAGCCTGTGGGATCAGATGCACACATAGGCTTGACTCTTGATTTTCTGTGTTCTTTGCCTGAACTATAGAGGTGGCCTTGGTGCCTTCTTCTAGTCCAGAGACACAGCTCATTCAGATGTACCTGGGGGAAGCTGGGGAGGGTCCCAAAAGTGAGGTAGCTATTCTGTCTGGAATGCTAGCTAAAATCTTTATTCCTTTTCTGGTTTGTTTTGTTTTGTTTTGTTTTGTTTTAACTATTGAGATTAAGTGTTTTTGTAGGTGGTGGGGGCAGCCTGAGGAGTGAGATAGAGATGTTTTTCTGAAGATGGTGCACACCTTGTTAGAAACTGCATCTCAAACTGAGTTCCCCCAACAGGAAGCTGACTCCATGCCTAGAGGTTCTGGAGCTAAGGCAGAAAATAAGGACATTTCTGAGATGAAGGGATCCCAGCAGTCTGGAAAAGGTTCTTACTCACATAGGTGTAAAGGGCATGTGGTGATGCCACACTATTTCAGCCCATGTGAGCTCTGTTTCCTTTGTCCTACCCACATTCATCTGTTTTCCCATGAGGCTTTTTGGGTCTTTGTCTTAACCTTCTACTAGCCTGCGAACAACCGAAGAGTAGAGAACTGGGACTTAGTACCTCTCACTTGTCATGTGTTCTCTGAAGTACCCAGCTCAGTACCCTGAACTTAGCAGGAATTCAGTCAACACTAAAGGAATTGCATGTCCATTGTTGGGAATAGATGTTGAAAATAGATGCTCAGTGCTGCAAAGAAAAGTGAGCACTGAGACGAAGGCTCTTTCGGCAATGCGACTTTGACCTCCTGGGCTGCAGGAAGGGTATTCTCACTAGCCATTTTGCCATGAGAATACAAACAACAAAGGAAAACACACATTTATTTCTTATGCATTTGGGATTGTCCTTACTGCTGTGTCTGATCTCTGGTGGCAGGAGCCAGGCCTGACAATCTAAACTAAAACTCGATTGGTTAATAAACTTGAAACTTTTCTAAACAGGTAAATGCCTGTGAGCACGTCCAGCACAGATATTTTGGCTAAAGTACAAGGACATAGAATGTACTACGTGCCTGTAAGCATGGCATGTCTAACAGCTACATAGGATAGGGCTTAACAAAGTTATTAGCACACTTGCTCTTTAACAAGAAAGGAAACTTTAAAAAGGAACTTTTCTACTTCCCACATCTATCCCGTTGGAATAGATTTTATATCCACTAACATGCATCTGTGTATCTAAAAACAACTTCTTCAATTTTTAACTTTACTTTTATTATTATTACTTTTTTTTTTTTTTGTGGAGACAGTCTTACTCTGTCACCAGGTGCCAGGCTGGAGTGCAATGGCGCAATCTCAGCTCACTGCAACCTCCACCTCCTGGATTCAAGCAATTCTCCTGCCTCAGCCTCCCAAATACCTGGGACTACAGTGCACACCACCACATCCAGCTAATTTTTTTATTTTAGTAGAGACATTTCACCATGTTGGCCAGGATGGTCTCAATCTCTTGACCTCGTGATCCGCCCGCCTCAGCCTCCCAAAGTGCTGGGATTACAGGTGTGAGCCACCACGCCAGACCTATTATTTTTTGTTACTTTTTTTTTTTTTATTTGTCTTTTCCACCCAGGCTGGGTACAGTAGCAAGACTTCGGGTCACTGCAACCTCAGGTCACTGCAACCTCTACTTGTTTCAAGCAATTCTCCTGACTCAGCCTCCCAGGTAGCTGGGATTATAGGCACACGCCACTCATGCGGGCTAATTTTTGTATTTTTTGTAGAGATGGGATTTCAACAGGTTGGCCAGATTTAATCTCCTGGCCTCAAGTGATCCGCCCACCTCAGCCTCCCAAGTGCTGGGATTACAGGTGTGAGCTACCATGCTCGGCCACTTTTCGCTAATTCTTGCATAATTAATACTTCAATTTGTAAAGGTTACTTCAAGTTTTATTATTCCAGAAGTTGACAAATAATTGCACAGTCGTTCTAGCCAAATCTTTCAAACTGTGATTTCAGACATACGGTGTGGCCTTCGTCTTTCCAGACCAAGCGCCCATAATTGACTTTAGAAGGTCCTTGTATAGTTTTTTCTAAATGATATGTATAGAGAATTCAGGTGGTCACTAGAGAAATAAATGATACCTTTCTCTGGTTCACAAAAAGTTTAACATCTTGGAAGTCATTCTGTCTCTGTAAGAAGATTTGGCAGACCCGTGATTGGAGTCAGCTTCTGTTGATCCTTTAACTCTGCAGACATTCGTTTTTAGGGTTGGCTGCTGAGAGGCTCATGAGATGGTATGTATATTGGTAAAACTGGGTTAGAATCCGGCCCTCAGCTTTGCAGAGCTAGACTCCAGAAATTAAGTCTTTTTAGTGCTCCCTATCTGATTAGAAGAAACCTGATTCACCCTGATACACACCCAAGTCTATTCATCAGACTTGTCAATTTTTAGTTTGAAATAGAACTGCCTGGCAGACTAGGTATTTATGTGGTCTGCTCTAGGCACATTCTCACTGTAATCAAACCACAAGGGGGTAGATAACATCAGAGATTGTCAGGCTGGAGGCCTGATTTGTCTGTCTCCTTGTAGGCCTCCTACACTTGAGTCAGTGGAGGGAGTGCTCCTCTGATACTTGGTGCTTGCCTGGCATTGCTGGCCCCTGATGTTGGAACACTGCCTTTTCCAAAATTGTCCCAAAGTGCTAGGATTACAGGCGTGAACCACCATGCCCGGCCAAAAGTTATCATGTCTTGATAAGGCAGGCAGGATTCCAGATGATAATCCATGTGCTTTGAAGTAATAATTTTTTTTTTTTTTTTGAGACGAGTCTTGCTCTGTCATCAGGCTGGAGTGCAGTGGCACAATCTCAGCTCACTGCAACCTCCGCCTCAGGTTCAAGTGATTCTAGTGCCTCAGCCTCCTAAGTAAC